AAATGGACAAAGATGAATTACAATGAAGTGAATGTAATGATCTACTGTGAGAAAGTGGGCATTTGTCCAATTTAAACCACCTTTCATTTATTTAATTTCACACATTTTGTCGTTATAGTTAGATAATTCTGTTTTCTTGATGTTGTTGTCTCTTGTTTAATGATCACATAACCCATTGTTAATTTAAATATACTTTATTTGTTAATTCATTTCAGTAACATCATACATCCACCTACTTTCCTGTTGCTCTACATCAGGGGTGTCAAACTCATTTTGGTCCGGGGGCCGTATCCAACCTACTTTGATCCCAAAGGGGCCGGATCAGAAAACTCATTGTTATTTTTGGGGTATATATGACATAACTTCTATTACAGAAATATTTTTTAATTGATGAACTCTTTCTTATTATAATATTATGAACAACCTGAAACTTGAAGAAAAATTCAATTTCAACACAATGTTTTAACATGAACTTGTATGTAAACAGGAATAAGTCAGTTTTTCTTGGAAAATCCTGCTCTCAGCGTCCACTTTTCTCATTTTTGACATTTTGCTGATGAGGGTGTCACGATCAACAGTCAAAACGATCGTCCTTTAAGAGCATCTTCATTTGTGCTGCTCTGGTGGGAGGGGCCACGCACAGAGACGCTGGAGACACTGCTCTGTTCAGCGCCACAGAAAATTACCAATATTTTAATAGAAATATAATTAAAATATTTTAGTAGAAAATCACCCAAGGGCCACATTAAAGGTCTTGGAGGGCCGGATCTGGCCCCCGGGCCTTATGTTTGACACCTGTGCTCTCCATGGTGTGGAGACAGAGGAGGGGGCGTGCCTTAAACGGGCCATATTTAAAGTCTCTGGGGGAGGTTGTGGGCCAGATCATGAGGAGGGGAGAAATGGTTTCAGTTCCTTTTTGTTTCATTGTTTTGTGTATTTAGTTTATATATTTTATCATTTCGTTTAGTTTAAACACTTTGTTTTAAAGGAACATAGGCCCTCATAATGCTTGCTTTGAATACTGCTACAGGTACATGTACACCTGTTACCTGGGGAGGTCCTTCCTGCTGGGGAGTGTGTATAAACAGTCTGTTTTAGTCAGTTAGGGAAAAAAGACTTTTGTGCAGCTGGGTGCATGCCTTTGTTGGTTTGTATTTGATTTACATATTTTCAGTTTATTTGTTTGAACACTTTATTTGTGATTAAGTTATTTTGCCAGAAGTCTATTTTAATACATTTTTGTCTGGTCAACAGTGTTGAGAGTAATGTGTTACAAAAGTAATGCATTAGTGTAATGCATTGCTTTTTGCTGTAAAGCCGTAATGCATTACAGAAAAAAAAGTTAGTATTTTCCTCAGTACAAATATCAGCAATGTGAGTTACAATGCATTTTTAACCTGGACTGAAGTGGTGGTTATTTTTGTTTTTCTTCATACAAATTTGCGAGATCAGCAGCAGTGAAATGTTCCATCAGATCAGATCAGATACATAACATCATCGTGAATCACATCAAATGTGTTATTAAAGACCGCCACACTACAGGAGAATATGCCCGATTTTGGGTGCAAGTTTCTTCTCCGTTTGAGGAGGTGTGACCGGACTTTTGTCTTTGTGTTTGATTTTGAAGCTGCTGCGCTCCTCATATGTGTGTGGTGTCAGTGTAACACTGAGCTTCTCTGTCAGATCATAACCACAAAACATCAGCCACTTACAATAACAGCCAATAAAACAGAGCGTCAGGGGCAGACTTAGTGACGGACAAAGAGGCACAACATGCAAACTCAGGAAATAGCAAAAAATAATTATTCCTCACGTCTAGTAAAGCTGTAAATTTAAAATGCAGCGTCTCGTGAGAGTAGTTCCTCACATGTGTCTGTTTACATCCACACAGCGCACGGATCGAGGTAAAGCTGAGGATTAGCGATAGTGACTACTTCTACTTCCTGTTCAGCTCAGTCAGATACCACATCACCTTCCACTGGATATGTAAAAGTTAATTTCATAGTTTTCGATAAGTCTTTTAAATGTGCAGATATGTAAGTTCACATTTTTACAGTGTAGAATCAAAAACACTTGGCGTTCCTCTCTCTCTGTCTGTAGTTTCTGTCCAATAGAGTAAGAGGAAGTACATGAGGGTGCAAAGGTCAAAAAGGAAAAATGTGCTTCGCAAAAGAACTGATCAATAATTTAAAATGGGACTAAAAGTGTGAAGGTACCATATGTGTGTTTATGGTGTATGTTCCATGTGCAGCATTTCAGATACAAGAGTTGCATGTTTGACTAGATTTCATTGCTTTGACATTGACACTTGTTTATTCATAAGTTAGATTCAAAATAAAATAAATAACATGTATAATTCATGTTTTGCAATGCAGTGAATTCTAAATAAAGTACTGCCGGTTTATAACTATGGAAGGTCAGACTCATGTGACCTTTAAGTCATGTTTTTAAGTTAAAAACAGCTGCCTTTTACCTTTAGTTCAGTAGAGATTGGCAATTCCAGGACTGAAATTATCCACATGATTCTAATGAAGGTGTGTGCTGCACTGGTGGCTGGTGGTACACTTCTTTTGGGGGGTGCCTAAGCCAAAATTATAACTATATATTGTAAATATATGTATTCTATATAGGCTAAATAGTATTCTAATGAATGCCAGAAACAGGCAATCATTTTGGTCACTTAATAAGTGCATCTTCAACATGGCAAGTTTGAAGAGACAATTCCAAGTTCATGTTTGTGGTCTGACCAAATGAATACAGTTTCTTGTCAAGATTATAATTCAATACAAAGGTAAGGTGTTATACTATGCTGAATTTGTGAAAACAAAAAATAATTAAAAAAAAAAAATTGGAAGAAGTACCTGCAGTGCTCGTGTTTCTTTGGTGCCTTCATATTTTACCTTTAAAACACTGAACGTTCTGTACACTCTGAAAGCATCAAGGTCTGCTCTTGAAAACGTTATTTTTGCTTTTTATGCCGATATTAAAACTCATTACTGCGGACCTGTCAATGGAACACAACGCTCAGTGATATTTTACTTTGGAGAACAGGCTGGAAGTATATTTGGAGCTGCTGACCACACAATAATGCTGTTTTTTTTTTTTTTTTTATCTCAGAAGTATATACATGATTACCACTCATCTTCGTCACGTCATGTCTAGGATTAAATTAAATGTATGAAGTTCTCCTGTGTTTTTGAAGTCATCACCTCAACTTCAGTACAATTTCTTTCTCTTTCCCCATTTGTTTTGTAGGTTCACAGATAGTTGTTTTGAACACTCTATGATGATAAAGATGAAAAACTGGACTCAGGATTAGTAAATTATTAAAGCTGCATTGCATATCTTTTCTGGTGTAAGGCCCCGCAAATGCTTTTCTTCATGAACTGCTTTATTGCTTTGTCTGGAATGTTTCACAATATGGTATTAAACCTTTCTATCTTCATGTAGACCAAACCAGACCAAGTTACAGGTCAGGGGCCTCGTTTATAAAAAAAAACTGCATAGGAGTTGTTCTAAACTAGCCACGCAAAATCCAAATTTAGAAAACCCACCACATGCACTGAACCACGCAATCTTTGCTTTATAGATCCCACCTGCAGTTAGAATTTGGGCACGTAAACCCACGTCACGTCACGCCCTCGCCACACCTCCACACCTCACCATAAAAGGAGCATGTAAAGTGACCGGTGAATGAGATTTCCCTAAACATGAGCCAGTAATCAATGGGTTTGACCGAGACACGCGGGACAGAGAGGGAGACGGATGCAGCACCACAAGACTTTAACAAGGTTTAACAAATAAATACAAAACTAAAAGTGACAACAATGACTCATCTGTTCATTTAATAATATTTCATAATATTTAGGCTGCACATCTTTGCAGTAAAGCCAGTGTGTTTTCTTGCGGTTTCAAGAGTTTTATCGCTATATTTTAAAGTCTGCCTATGATGTGTGTGTGGACTGGCCCTGTTTATGCACTTATACTAGAAGAAGCGAGCACGTGGGGTTCTGGAAAGGAAGTGAGGGATGGCTACGAGGATATGTGGACACAGATTTAGCACGTAACACATCAGATACCAATCAGGCGCTGTTATTCTGCCAATAAAATTCCACATGAAACATCCAAAATGCTAACCTCTGTGAGTGCGCGGGTCTGGGTTTGATCTCTGTGAGTGCGGGTCTGGGTTTGATCTCTGTGAGTGCGGGTCTGGGTTTGATCTCTGTGAGTGCGGGTCTGGGTTTGACCTCTGTGAGTGCGGGTCTGGGTTTGATCTCTGTGAGTGCGGGTCTGGGTTTGACCTCTGTGAGTGCGGGTCTGGGTTTGACCTCTGTGAGTGCCCGGGTCTGGGTGTGACCTCTGTGAGTGCGTGGGCCTGGGTTGGGGTGGGCACGGGCATTATTCTGTTCTTCATACTGTCAGAGAACAGCTCTCATTTCCAAGAGTTCCCATTACACACAAATGTAGGGAATATTTAGGGTTCGGGTCAGGTTCGGACAGTAGGCTTCTTTGTGTGCGCAGACTCAGGTGACTCTTGTGCTCGGTGCATAAAGACTAAAGTGTTAAAGTTGCGTTCATTAAATTAAAAGGCTAGGGAACGGCTACGTTTATATGATGACGCAAAAGCGGTGTTTAGACAAGTGTTTTCGGGAGGAAATCTGTGTGCATACAGTGAAGCAAAAGTGTGTGGAATTGGATTAGGTATGCATGCCAGGAGGCTCGGTGGTGACGCTCGGTGGTGATGTATGTGATGTAAACGTGTACGCGACGTGAGCAGATCATACCAGAATTTTGCATCTTGGGCAGTGTACGGAAACACTACGGCAGAGAGTATTCAACTTTTCCACTCTGGAGGGTGGTTTCAAATATTTGCATTTTTAAGCCCCAAAAACGCTGTCACAGTCTAAACAAAAGGCACTTCCAATACAATATTTTGTTGTTTTTACCTGCAGGCGTTCTCGTGTAAACAGACCCTAAATATGTTTTTCTGTGTTTTCCAGGTACGTTCCGACCATAGACGACGTGGAGATGTACAGATCGCACAAGGGCCCAGTGTCGGAGCTGCACGTGGTGGACCAGTACATGATGGAGGTGGGTTTCTCAGAGCTCCTCTCAAACACAGGAGACACACAGAGGCTGATGGGCAGTGACAGCAGCAGAGCAGGGCTGGGGTCACTGTGAGTACAACACACAGGACTCTACTGTACTCAGGGCATATGAAGTCCTCACCTTCAAACTATTTCGGAAAAGTAAAGTGTAAATGTGTTCTGGTGCAGAAAAATAACAAGTCATTGCTTTTCATTTATTTCATTTCATATACTTTATTTTTTTAACCTGGCAATTTCATGAATGTACTTTAACAAAAATACAGTTAAAAGTGCATTGTGTAACTTTTCTGGTGGAGGGACCGGCAAATGGTTTTCTTCATGGAGATGTCACGGCTTTCTCTGGAATGTTTCACAGTATGGCATTAAACCTTTCTACCTTCATGGAGACCCAACCAGACCAAGTTACAGGTCAGATCTGTGGAGAGGCAACCCCGATCACAGTCTGAATGCTTGTTTTTCTAGGTATTTTTGAGTTATAAAACCACTTGCAACTCAATAAATAAAAAGTGGAGCTGTTTAATGTCACAGTGTGGAACATTTTAGGCAGAGCAATGACATCTCCAGAGCAACAAGCAGGTGATGGACCCCCAATCAAAAAGTTAGTGCACCTTTAAGACAACACATGAGTTAACCAGGAGTCCTGCAAAAACAATACTGCAAAATTCAGTGGCATACATTTCATTATTATGCACAAAATTAAAACTTTAGGTTACTTTTGTAACCCCGGTTCTCTGAGTAGCATGAGTGAGACGTTGGCACCCCATATAAATGCCATGGGTACGACGTCGCCTGTCATTCAATAAGCACACCTCTTCTCGCTTCACCCCAGCAGCAAGAAGGGTAGTCTGGTGAAACATCTCACTCATGCTACTCAGAGAACCGGGGTTACGAAAGTAACCTAAAGTTCTCTTTCATAGCATTTGTTTCGATGTCTTACTATGGGATATGGAGACTCCCGTATTGCCAGACAAGCTTATTGCTGTGACAAAAATGCCAGCCAAGGCCCCTGAGAGAGCCAAAGCTCAGGGCACGTCTCCAGAGGAACCCACACTGAGGACAGCATGGGACAGTCTATAAAACCTTGTCAGTCTATAAAACCTTGCAAAAGTCAAGCGAGCTGACCAACTCGCTGCAGCACAGATGTCCTGGATAGACACACCCCTGAAATAGGCCCATGAGGTGGCTTAGCCCCTGGTAGAATGGGCCCGAAGACCAACTGGGACTTGAAGGCCTGCAGTGGAATAAGCCAAAGAATTGGCCTCCACAATCCAGTGGGAAAATCTCTCTTTAGAAACAGGTTTTCCCCTGCGGGGTTTAGCCCAGGACACAAAGAGCTGATCCACCTGTCGAAATGATCTGATCCTTTCAACATAGGCACTCAAAGCTCGGACTGGGCATAACCTCTGCTGCTCAGTAGATGTGTGGGGAGGAGGCTGAAAAGCATCCACATCCACTCTGGTACAGGCGCCAACAACCTTTGGAGTAAAGGCTGGATTGGGGCGCAGGGTCACCCTGAGATTATCAGAGCTGAATCGCATACAAGCGGGATGCACTGACAGAGCATGAATGTCACTGACATGTTTGGCAGTGGCTAAGGCCACCAGCAAAATAGTCTTTAGTGACAGCATCTTCAGGTCAATGTCTCCCAGTGGCTCAAAGGGATGGACACTGAGAGCCTGAAGCACAACAGCCAGGTCCCATGAGGGAGACAGTCCATATTAGTGACAAGCGGTGTTCCCTCACCCTGAGAAGAGAGGGGGGAATCAACGCCAGACGAGGAAAAGCATAAAGTAGCTTTCGGTACCACTCGTGGGAGAGCGCGTCCACCCCCAACGGCACACGCTGTCCGTGTAGGGAGAAGAACAGCGGACAATGCGCATTCTCCATCGATGCAAACAGGTCCACTGACGCGCGGCCAAACCTGATCCAAATCTGCTCCACCACGTGTGGATTCAGATGCCATTACCCGTACAGGGGATTGCCCCTGGATAGAAGATCTGCGCCAACATTCAGGATGCCTGGTACATGTGTCGCTCTCAGAGAGAGAAGATGCACAGTGCTCCACATCAGAAGCTTGCCTGACTGGATCGGGACAGTGCGCACAGAGGGCAGAGTTGGGATACCTCTTATCGGTCCGGGTTTTTCCGAGGTTTTCAGAGAAATAAAGAACTGCGCCTCGGCTCTGTGCCTGGGTGCGACAGTTGGAATTTTATTCCTGAACAATGTGTGTTTGTGCTTGTGAGACGTGTGTGGTGCGGAATGGTCCAACACGTGAACAATGTCTCTCAGTCTCCTGGTCAGGACACTTGGGGAACACACCGAGTCCAGACCAAACATTGGAGGGCACACAACACCGGGGAAAACCTCCCATGGCACACTGGCAGCGACAGGGACATGTGAACCTAGAACTGTGCCGTCCCTGCCTAAAAGCAGTGGCTTGGACTGCTAAGACGCCTCTTCCTCCTACTCAGGGGCTGCAATGCGCTCAGTGGCGTTGGAGCAGCTTGAGTGGCACGGGGGCCCGTAGTTTTCTTCAGCCACACGAGTCTGACCACCTGGGGGCCAGCCGGTAATGCGGCAGGGGCCTGTGGCGTTGGTCATCACGGTGCGCGGAAAGCGGACCGCGAGCAGACCTGGCCCCCGCCTGAGTCAAGTTTGACCATGGGGCCCTCTGGGCAGGCATCCTGCAAGGAAGACAGAGTATAAGGGCCTCGTCTTCCTGCTTCTTGGCTTCGCACCTCTGTTGCATAGAAGCAAGCGCGGAGCCGAAAATCCCCTCCGGGACGACCGGTATGTCAAAAATGTCCTCCCTCTTTTTGTCGGACAGATTGGTCAAATTCAACCACCTAGCCCTCTCCTGTAGCACCAACATGGCCATACATTTGCTCACAGCCTGCACAGCACAACTTTGGACACGTAGGCAAATGTCAGAGACAGTGGTAATGTCGTCCCATGCCGTGGGGTTTGGGACGTTAGCCATGTCCTCAAAGCTTGGTAGGCAGTCAACATGGAGGTGACGTTAAGAGCTCTAACAGACAAAGCTGCCGCTTTGTAGGCTCTCTCAGTCATGGCGGACTGGAAGCGGTCGTCTTTAGAAGGGTGAGTGGATGATCTGGTGGACGTGGCTGAGAGCTTCAGATGAAGGTTGGCCGGCACCATCTGGGTCATACTGAGCTTGTCCATATCGACAAAATCCAAGGAAGAAGCTCCCAAAATGGGGTTCTTGCTGGAGTATGGGCAGCCTTTCCAAGAGACTGACACTTCTTCAAGTAGCTCCAGGAAGACCGGGAGAAGCTGCCGTGCTGACCATTTGGCTTTGGGTAATTTCTTCCCCTCATAACGGGAGCGGGGAGCCTCCGCCACAACAGGTGGCCAGGGGATGTCCAACCTCTCAGCCGCGTGTTTACACATGTCATGCAGGTTGACACTGAGCGGTGGCTGTGCAGCCCCACCATCATCCTTGGCCTGAGTCACAAGCAGGGAATCTTGGCACTGGCCCGGCGAAACGAAGGAGGAAGAGTCCTTGTCATCCTCTGAAACCAGGCACTCCTCTCCAAAAGATTCGTCCTCCTCATAATCCAGGAGGAGCTGTTCATGTTCGAGAGGGTGTAGCAGGTTTAGCGTCCAGCTCCAACTCCGACTCAGCGGCGTGGGGCCTGGGTCCGTCTGAGCAGCTGCTCCGAGCTGGTGTGCTGCGGTAGCGAGCTCACTCAGAGCAGGGTCCTGCTCCTAGAAGCTAGCTTGGCGGGCAAGACAGTGAAGGCACGAGCCAGGATTCTGTACCACGGCTCTGGCATGTTCCAGCCCAAGACAAGCCGAGCAGACCTGGTGTGTGTCTTTGCTTGAGATCTTATTCCCTCAAGTGCAGAGCCGGGTGCTATTCATCTCTGTGGTGGGAGAGAGCTTTGCAGCTGTAGCCATGGTCGCTAACTGGTGGGGTAGCAAGCACGGTAAATTAGCTTGGTGTAACTAGCTGTGAAACAAACACAAAGATTGTTAACACAGGTCCGTCCTGTATGGTGGCAGGAGGTCCTGTCTATATCAGCTAACACAAAGGCTACTAGTACAAACAAATTACTGACACGAAAGAGACACACACACACACACAACAGACATAAATCTCCAGCAGAGACCGATATTAGTTTAGCCCCACCAGCCATCTAAATATGCACGAAAAATATATACATAAAGTTTTGTTTGAATACTTCCAAAGAGGGTACTCCAAAAATATTCATGGTAACAATCTGATAACCACTTATTTGTATTAAGTCATCTTGTAGCAGTAAATAAATCACCAGTATTTAATTAAGTACTGAAAAATATAAAAGATAAAAAATATACAAAGAAAGAAAGAGATTAGATGTGAAAATGTGACTGATACAAATCCTTCTGTGTGGGGTTACTCAAGGTACTGTACTTGTGTGTGTTTCAAGTGTCAGCATTTTTACTTCCTCCAGTCTCACCCTGCTCCTTCAGAAGCAGCCCGGTTTGACCTGAGCACACACCTGCAGCGCCGCGTCTTATTTCTCTTTCCTCGCTTCCTTCTCCTTGATTCCTCTCCTCGATCCTCCCATTTTTCAGCTGTCAATCAAATGTATACATTCTGTCAATTGGACAAAAATCAACATTTCTCCAGTTGTCAGAATACATTTTTATTTTGAAAGGTTTACAAGCTCATAAAATAATAAAATAGAAAAATAAGTGTGTGTGTGTGAGTATATGTGTGTGTGTGTGTGTGTGTGTGAGACCATATGTGAAACCTGAATGACACCATTGTCATTCTTGTTCCACGCCCACGATATCGTACTGTGAGACTTGGATATTGTTACACCCCTAATGAAGATAGAAAAGTTTAATGCCATACTGTGAAACATTTTAGACAAAGCAATAACATCATTGAGAAAACAAAGCACCTTTAAACAAGTTCAGAAGAACTGACAAAAGACTGAAATCTGAGCTGACAAACTAATACAAGAATCACAC